TCATGTGCCGAATCCAAAAATGTAGTCAGAAAAAATCTCAGTAGTATAGTTTTGTAGATACAGCTAAAACAATGAAATTTCACTCAAAAAAAAGTTTTTTTTACTAAAATACAAATATCTCCGGCTGTAATGAAGCTTTATCAATTATTTTAAAGCCAAATTAGAGGTATTTTTTTCCCTCGATCAACTGGTAATTTTTTTTCTTGGTACAACCACTACATACAAAATATTTACCTTGCTCAAAAACTTAGCTTAAATCGAAGACATCATATCAAGAAGACTGGCAACTTTGCCAGAATCCTAGCGACAGATACAGTAGCGCTGCACTTGAACGAAGGTGGAAGCAACGCATAGAAAAATGAGCAAATACACAAACCTTTCTTGATATCAAATGCGTTCGAAGCATTTACCTTTGAGCACGAGATGACGCGATTGTACCTGTCTCATAGCGTTCGTATGAGAAAATGGAAGAGTTGACAGTCTTCTTGATTTGTTGTCTTCGCTTAAATCGAATTTTTCTTGGAAAAATATAAAAAAAAAAAATATATTCAACAAACCATTAATTTACAACAATACCACTAATATAACTGAAGAGTTATGTCCAGTTGATTGAAAGAAATTATTCTCACCTTTTATTTAGCGTTAAAATAATTTATATAGCTTTACTTTAGCCGGAGAAATTTGTATTTAAGAAAACAATAGATACAATTAGATAATTTTAACTATTTTAGAAATTCGAAATATTTTTGAAGGTAATAAGATTAATTTAACTTTATCTTCAAATATTTGAGACATCATCCACCTTTGCCCTTAATAAATACAATATATTTTAAACCTTGTTGATCCTTGCCACAATTTGTTTCACAAGTATTTGAATATATTCTGTGCAAATTTCAACCTATATGATGGATGTATTCTGATGTGTGTCGGAATATTTTTGAAAATAATTAGATAAATTGAACTATTTAAAAAAAAAAATTTGAAAACCATTCGCCATCTTGGATCCACATTCTGGATCACTATTGCGAAAGTAAACCAACATCCAAGAATTGAAATGACAGGACTTCCCTGAACATCAGTAGGACTATGTCTATGTGGGCAATCGATCAACGTTACATTGGACAGTGGACCATGAATTAAATCTAGCAGGAAAAAAATAATAACGTTTTGCTGGTCCAATTGAAATGACGTCTTCAGTGAAATTTCTTGAAATAATTAGGACTACAATTTTTAGATAAAAATAGTTCACGTTTTGGTCAAACAGATGGCGCAGCGATACAAACATTTATATTCCACAAGATAGAGGTTTGCGGACTTGGGCAAAGTTGTAGAACCAAGAATCTTATGAAAAGTTACCCAATACATGGAAGCTGTACATCTTCAAACAACTGCGATGTACGAAGTTTTATAAAATTTGTCTAAAATTTACGTTTTAGTATTATATTTTGAACAATTGTTCAAATGAATACTTTTTATCATTTTGACTCGATCGGTGCTGATCAATCCAATCTCAATGCTTTTATTTTTAGAGTACTGAACAATTAATGTATCATGAAATTTGGAAAAAATCATGAATTTATGAATAGATTAAAAAAAAAGCGCAACCGAACGAAAGTTTGGTCAATACTTCAAAATTTAAATCAAATAGACATTTATGCCTCAAAATATCTCAGATGATTGTAATTGAGACATGAATTGAAAATTTAATAACCATTTCAATCGATTTCTGCTTTGTGAAAATTAAAAATGATCACATATGGAACACATCACACACAACTAAACAACAAATTCGTGAACAGTGATGAGAAAGTTCATTAGGCGAACATCGTTAAATATCGCGAACTTCTCCAACACTGCTTCCAAACATTTAAAAGAAATCATCAAAACTTAAACTCTTTTACGTTGAAAATCGATTGGTGGCCCTGAAAAGGGCCGATTTGTAGTTTCGATGGTACGAATTTATTTGGAGCTGGTGTACTTGGTGACGGCCTTGGTTCCTTCGGAGACGGCGTGCTTGGCCAACTCACCCGGCAGCAGCAGACGGACAGCGGTTTGGATTTCGCGAGAGGTGATTGTCGAGCGTTTGTTGTAGTGAGCCAGACGGGATGACTCAGCAGCGATACGTTCGAAGATGTCATTGACGAAGCTGTTCATGATGCTCATGGCCTTCGACGAGACTCCGGTATCTGGGTGGACCTGCTTCAACACTTTGTAGATGTAGATGGCATAGCTTTCCTTCCTGCGTGGCTTTCTCTTCTTCTTGTCTCCCTTGACGATGGCCTTCTGAGCCTTGCCGGACTTCTTGGCGGCCTTTCCACTGGTTTTTGGTGCCATAGTAAAGCTGTCAACTTGGGTACAGAATAACTAATAATTTTGGTAAGACGATGGTGTTTCTTTTTATACGCGTAGCATGGCAACCGCCACTCGTCCCCTTTTATGTATTTTAATCAAAACCCGTTTTATGCTACCCTCCTTGTATGTATAATATGCTGCTCGACGCAGGTATAAAAGCAACTTCGACGAGCTAAAACGGCATCAGTACAGCTTGAGCATAAAGCTGCTCGTTTTATTTTCACATCGTAATCTACCCTACTACATCGAAACATGTCTGGCCGAGGCAAAGGTGGAAAAGTTAAGGGAAAGGCAAAGTCCCGCTCGAGCCGCGCTGGATTGCAGTTCCCAGTTGGTCGTATTCACCGTCTTCTGAGGAAGGGCAACTACGCCGAGCGCGTTGGTGCCGGTGCTCCTGTCTACCTGGCTGCCGTGATGGAATATCTGGCCGCTGAAGTTCTCGAGTTGGCAGGAAACGCCGCCCGTGACAACAAGAAGACCAGAATCATCCCACGTCACCTGCAGTTGGCCATCCGCAACGACGAGGAGTTGAACAAACTGCTGTCCGGGGTGACCATCGCCCAGGGTGGTGTCCTGCCAAACATCCAGGCCGTCCTGTTGCCCAAGAAGACCGAAAAGAAGGCTTAAATTTGATCGGAGACCACGCCCAACATGTACAAAACCGTCCTTTTCAGGGCGACCAATTTGATATCACCAACTAAAGAGTTTGATTTATTGGCATTTTTTAGTTCAAATGAAGGCATATTTTCATATTTCATTCCTATGAGGCACCCCTCTATACAATAAAATGAGAGATGAAAAATGTATTCTTAATCGACCAATGCATATAAATACCACCCGATTTGTGGCTGCTCTGCAATTTCGTTTCCCCAGCTACCTGGTGAAGATTATCTCGGACTACCTCGACGGCAGGACGTCTCAAGTATACGTAGGCAGTGCTCCCTCCCAGTCCCTCAAGGAAGCATCCTGGGACCCATATTGTACCATCTGTACACATCGGACATACCGACACTGCCGGAAGGTGGAACACTGTCGCTGTTTGCTGACGATTCGGCAATCAGCTACAAGGGACGAGTAATGCGCACTCTCGTATCGAAGTTCCAAAACGGATTGGATGTTTACACCATTTATCTCACCGACTGAAAGATATGTGTGAACGCGGCCAAAACGCAAACCATTGTGTTTCCGCATAGCAACACCGACCGGCTCAAACCGTCATCAAAGATAAAGGTTCTGAACGCTGAAACTGAGTGGTCACCCGTGGTACGCTACCTTGGCCTGATTCTCGACAGTAAGCTCCTCTTCCGGTCGCTCGTGGAAGACCGAGTCAAAAAAGGCACCATGATGCTGAAACGTCTGTATCCGATCATCAACCGTCAATCGAAAGCATCCACCGTCAACAAGCTGGCTGTCTACAGGCAGATTGTTGCGCCTATGCTATAGAATGGGTCTCCGGTATGGAAAGGTTGCGTTAAAACACATCGGAAGAAGCTCCAAGTCTTGTAGAACAAGTTCCTGAAGATGATTCTGAATCTGCCCCCGCGCACACGGATAGCCGACGTTCATCGGCTGGCAAATCTCGATCAAATCGACCAGAGAATGACTGCGCTCGCCAGTTAGCACCAAACTAGGACACTAAATTCAGAGTACGAAAAAATAATAAATCTTAACCAATAATTTTGTAAATAATATGTTGTAGTTATATAGGAAATTTAAAAGTTTAAAATAGAACCAAAGTTCACACTGTAAAAAGATAAATACCAATAATAAACAAATTCAGATTAGAGAAGCTCTTGTGTGGGCAACATAATCGAGCAGCTACGAAAAGCCGAATAAACAGTATGAAACAGTACATAAAGGCCATTTTTCTTGTTCTTCGGCCAAAGGACGGCTCTTCTGCCAAACATCTTCAAGGGTGGTTTGTTTAAAGGGACGTTAATATATGGAAGCACAGCTCTTCTGCCAAAATATAGCAGACTTGGGAGACTATACAACTCCAGTATGTCTCTATATAAATCAGCCATTAGCCTTAAGTTACCCGTGCTGTAACCGTCCTAATAATAAGTAAACGCACCTTAAAACTGACCAAAGATAAATGTTCTTGTCCCGTATTCCGTCGCATAAAATCTTATTCAACAGTGTAATTAGTCCAGTTTTCCGTTACTGTGCTCGAGCAAACAAAAACAGTTGAAGACGGTTTATTCGTATTCATATTCCGAAAGGTAATCGTCATTACCTGACCAGATTCACGGCACCGGTCCAACAGACGCTTGAATGTGCATCAACTAGAACTAGAATCGATAGGACTAAGGACTAACTCTTATGCACAAAACGCACGGAATCTTAAAAACAATCATTCTATTCAGTCAATTTTGGTTTTCTCAATCGGTAGATAAGAGATGCACGGAGAGGTGATTGGAAGGACTTCCCGCTAAAATGTTTTGATCGACCCCATTTGCTTATGCTTTTTTTCTACCGTCTTGAACAAAGCCTTACCGTTATATCTGTCTTTGAGTAAAGCAAACTGAAAGTTATTACTTCCACCAAAAACAACTGTACATACAAAAGGATCAATTAAAGGGACAACAATTTAAATTGCAATAGGAATGTTCCATCTAAACTCTCTTGTGGATTGCGAGTAGTGGCCCTGAAAAGGGCCGGTTTTAAAACGGTGCGTTGGAGAAATTTAAGCGCGTTCACCACGGATACGACGAGCCAGCTGGATGTCCTTTGGCATGATCGTGACACGCTTGGCGTGGATGGCGCACAGGTTGGTATCTTCGAACAGACCGACCAGATAGGCCTCACTGGCTTCCTGCAGGGCCATGACGGCCGAGCTCTGGAAGCGCAGGTCGGTCTTGAAGTCCTGAGCGATTTCACGGACCAGACGCTGGAAAGGCAACTTGCGGATCAGCAGTTCGGTCGATTTCTGGTAACGACGGATCTCACGCAGAGCGACGGTTCCTGGCCGATAGCGATGAGGCTTCTTCACTCCTCCGGTGGCCGGAGCGCTCTTGCGAGCGGCTTTGGTGGCCAGCTGTTTGCGAGGAGCCTTTCCTCCGGTGGACTTACGTGCGGTCTGCTTGGTACGAGCCATTATGTTTAGTTACGATGCGGATACGATGAATCGAAGATGTTGAATAAAAATTTTGACCGTCTTCCCCTCGATTTTATACCATAATTTTGCTATGTTCAACCAATCACAAATGATGTAAGAACAAGAGGACAACAACTAGCAAGAAGAATCTAACCCTCGAATGGGTATAAAAGATGCATTAATGGTCAAATTAAGAATCATTTTCGTTTCAATCGTACCTGAAGACAGTATCAATCAGCATCAACAATGACCGGACGTGGCAAAGGAGGCAAAGGACTCGGCAAAGGAGGAGCTAAGCGTCATCGTAAGGTGTTGCGTGATAACATCCAGGGTATTACCAAGCCCGCCATCCGTCGTCTGGCTCGTCGTGGTGGTGTCAAGCGTATTTCCGGGCTGATCTACGAGGAAACCCGAGGCGTGCTGAAGGTGTTCCTCGAAAACGTGATTCGTGACGCCGTCACCTACACTGAACACGCCAAGCGTAAGACCGTCACGGCCATGGATGTCGTCTACGCTCTGAAGCGACAGGGACGCACTCTGTACGGTTTCGGAGGTTAAATCAGCATTATCAACTCTAGCATCAAAACGGCCCTTTTCAGGGCCACAATATGAATCAAAAAGAGTTTTTGATGGCAACTTCTTGCAGCATCTTTATTTGAAATTTTTTTAAAAGCCTTGTACCACTTTTTTTTCTTGGCCTATTTTTGTTCACATTCTTTTGTCACGAACTGTGTTCGGGTGTGGACATTTTTGCATTTCGGTTATTTTGTGTATATTGTTTTCACACTTCTACAGTAGTAGTAAAATTCCGTTTATTTCTGTTGATCATGATTGTACATTGTAGCCTATCTGGTTCTTCATCTTTGTTTCATTGGATATTCTAATTTAGTATTTGCGTTTTTCAACTAGTTTATAGGGGTGCGTTGAAAAATGTGATAACCTAACTATCTAAAGTGCTAGATCACGTATGATCTGATCTCAGACAGGTGTCTTTGAACCTTTCCAGGATGAATACTCTGCGTTTTTCTAATGTCTGAATTCCAGTCAGAAGGTGGATCTCAGAATTTTGAGTCCGCGGGACAGTTTAGGATCAGCCTAACGATCTTGTTCTGGATCCTTTGCAGTTTAAGATGATGGTATTTGGAACAGCTCTCCCAGATTGGCATACCATACTCAATAACAGGTAGAATTAGTTTTCTATAGACAGCAAGCTTAATTTTTCAGGGATAAGATGGACTTCTTGTTTGAACTTCCTTTGTTTCGCTAGCAGTGGATTGTCAAAACATTGCTATTCAGGCATACAAAGCCAAATCTAAAGTGAATATTTCGACCATTCTTATTTCTAATGACAGTATTGCATGAATCCGACGAAGTATGTTCTTGTTATTCAAATATTAATGTTTTTTGAAGATGACTATCAGGATCATAATGCAAGTTGTTTAAGATTACTTCTGTTGAAAGAAGAAAATGATCATCCACAAAACATTCAAATGCGGCCCAGAATTGCAGGAAACTAACAAAGGCTCATGAAACGGGTAGAAGCATAGCTACTATATACACTCTGAGCAATTTGCTTCTTGCTACCAAGCTCTCAACGGAAACTACATTGAATAGAAATTATCATCCAAATCCTACCTGTTGATACATACGTCGTCTCTTATGGAAGGTAGAAATATTAAATTAACGTTAGTCTATTTGTGAAAATAAACGATAAAATAGGTAGACAAAAGACAGCACACATCAAGCGTCATCGTCATTAATGCATAAAACAGTAACGTCTATTTTAATGAGATTGTTGAAAACTGCGGCGAAAAACTGCACGTCTTGCTTGATAATTTGTCTGTATTCAGAAGGGATAAGTTGGGAATAGAAATAATAGATAGGATGGATTGAATTTGAAAATTTGATGCGAGATTTGGGTAAAAATGGGACAATCCTAAAGTGTCGTTCCCCCTGGTTGTCATACATGTTATGGGCCATTTAATGAGGGAGTATTCTTAACGTTCAGGATCTACAGGCGATATTATTAAAAATGACGAGTTTCAAGAGAAAATGAACAAAAAGGGAATTTTACACTCAACACAAATAAAAATTAATCAATTTTTCGATCATAAATTTAATTAATTGCATTGAGAAACATATTGCTTAACCTTCAATTGAAAATTGTGGCTAGTCTTTCAGTATACTGGAGAACAATGTTCAACACCACGCGCCGAAAGCACGGCTGCTGATGATGACTGACCGGACACTACCACACACGGTGATTGACCGAGACCGAATGGAATTCGATTTTGAAATCTATGTTAAGGAAAGCGCTTCTTGCAGGCAATCGATGATAATTTTGATCACCATTGCAACAGTTGGACATTTGTGTAATATTCAATAGTGTGCTATTGAAAATTAATAAAATTTTCATTTAAGCAGATTCACAGAAAAATGATCAATCGATTGGCTTATTTGGAATTAAAATCCATTCGGGATTGACAGAGTTATAATTGGTCAAAACCTGACCACTTTCGTAACACGGTCGATTTAGGTTTTTTTGAAATTACACCTCCAAATATGTTGCCGAAAGACGTAATCATACGTCAAAAGATTATTCCAAAAGCAAACTCTTGATGGAAATCAATGATGGTAGCCCTGAAAAGGACTGATTTGGGTGATTATTTCGTGTATGACACACGTTGGGGGCGTCGTTTCCAAGTTTACTTCTTGGCGGCGGCCTTCTTCGGTGCAGCTTTCTTGGCTGGGGCGGCCGTCTTCGGCTTCGGGGTCTTTGGCTTCTTGGCAGCGGTCTTCGAGGGCTTGGTGGCCTTTTGCTTGGGAGCAGCAGCCTTCTTCACAGTTCCGGCCTTCTTGGCGGCCTTGGCAACGACAGCTTTGGCTTTCTTCACACCGGCAGGCTTCTTGGCTGCCGGCTTTTTGGCCTTCTTCTCACCAGCAGGTTTCTTAGTGGCGGGTTTCTTGGTGACCTTTTTCTTCTCACCGGTAGCCTTCTTTGCCTTCTTCTCTCCGGTGGCCTTTTTAGGTTTCTTTTCGTCGACCTTGAGCTTGAACGATCCTGAAGCCCCGGATCCCTTGGTCTGGACTAGAGTGCCCTTCTCGACACCGCTGACCAGAGCCTTTCTGATGAAGATGGACAGCTTGGCAACGTCGCACTTGTAGTTCGCAGCGATGTACTTCTTGATGGCCTGTAGGGACGATCCTTTGCGTTCCTTCAGGGTCTTGATAGCTGCAATGACCATCTCGTTCGCTGGTGGATGAGTAGCTGGCTTCTTTGGCTTCTTAGCGTCTCCCTTGGTGGCCCTGGCCTTCTTCGGAGTCTTGGCTGGCGAGGCAGCAGCAGGCGCCGCGGCGGCAACTTCAGCGGTTTCAGTCATGATGATTCACAGGGTTTCGTTTGATACTAGTATGTAGGTTAAAATGAACGAATAAACATGTATGATGAACTGACAGTCGTTTGACTCTGATGTCTGTGTTAGGGATAAAGATGTTAACGGAAAACATGAGTTCATGTGATATATTTTAATTTCTACCAGAAATAGTTTTTAAAACAACGGTTTCTACCAAGTGCAGGTTGATAAATGTGCTTGTGTATATTTCTAAATAGCGAATCGACTATTGTAGTTCTCAAAAATTAGCTTTGTAGTGGACTATATTTACTAGAAATACCATACAATTATCTTCTTTTGAGAAATGTTAGAATCAACTAGCAAATAGTTGTTGAAAATCAATAATATTCACCTATTGAAACAATATTGATTGTTCTGCAAGTTGGTCGCTCTTATAGACAAATATTTCCGCTACACATTGGCATCAATTTTATTGTTCTATTAGCAGAACGTTCCGTTTAAATTTGATATTTACCTGAATGATCAATGCGGTTATACTTTTCTCAATAGCATTATTCATGATGCCTCAATCATGGGTGTCCCGTGATTAATTATTATGGAAAAACTTTAACCCTTTTTAAGTCAATTCTCTTGGAATATAATGATTAAAAATAAATTACTCAAGTTTGAAGAAAAATCAGACAAGGCTATAGGACAATCTCAAAGTGAAACATCATTATTCTAGAAATCTTTGACTCGCTGTTTGATCATTAAACTGGAAAAGCGAGAGCTCTCAGCAAAAGGGATGTTTGATTGCTAAGTCGCAGAAAATGTCACAAAATTCACTGTTTGCTGAAATCGCAGTAAGTGCTGAAGTGCTTGAATTAAGTGTGTAAGTAGTTGGAGTCGAGAAAAGTACCGGCTCGGATACCGACTGATCTGCAAAATAATATTAATTAGAACGTTCCGAACCATGAATTATCATATTTGAGATCAAGGAACTTTGACCTGAAAGAAATTATGGACAGTTCAGGGAATTGATTTTTTTGTTTTTAGGGCCCTAGCACAATTTCCTGATGATCTCAAGCTTTTACAACTTTCCCGAACTTCAAATACTTTAAACATCCATAACGGTGAGAGACACCCTCTGAAAGTATCACCAGTGAAAAATAAGAATCTTTTAAGCAAAAGCACTTTTTTAGGATAACTATCGCAACTCGGAAAATAATTTTTTCTGATTTTCTTATTTTCTCAAACCATGAAAAACCATTTTCTGGTTAAATTTTTATGATCGGTTTATGAGTTATGGGTTTTTATAGTATTGAAAGTACGGGTAAATCGGAACGATAAAATAAACAAAAAAAACATTAACGTCTCATCGGAACGATGTTTTCCTACACAACTCGTACACGGCCAACTACAACATCTCAGTGACTGAATTCAATTGACTCAGAGCATTTTCTTTCCATACGGAATTTACTCATAATGGAAAAAAAAAACTGCAGTTACTCATTAGCTATGAGTAACTGCAGTTGTTTTTTGTTCAAATATGAGTAATTTTCGTACGGAAAGAAAATGCTCTGAGTCAATTGAATTCAGTCGCTGAGTTGTTCACTCATAAAATAAATCACATAACCAGTGGAAAATATCTATGTGAATTTCACATAACTTTCATGTGATCCAATGAAATCTATATGATTTCTCATATAGAATTTCTTATGCTATGTGATATTCAGATAAAAATCATTATTTTGGTTATTGGAAAAATATTATGTGCGTTCCTAATAGAAACTATGTGAAAACTTTTTCAGTGTTGTAGTTGGCCGTGTACGTTGTATTGGAAGGTGTTTTGCAGGTTTGATGTGAATTGTGTTTTATATAATGCTTATTTTTATGAATTTTCTATACAGGCTGTCAACATTATTATCATCATATGCAGGGGCGACTGAGGTGGCAACTCCTGCGAAGAGCTTTTATGAAAATTTCTCAATTGTTAGAATCTGAAATTTTAACTTTCTTATATTCCTATATTATGTGCCGCTTTTCTCGATACCAAATGTTTTTGTTGTTTCTAAACTACAGAAGAAATTTAAAATCAAATCTCAACAAATGGTTAGCATTTGTAACAACGATATTCCTATTTGAGGATTGCAATGTCATATTTCATAGTTATACATTTTTTTCGAATAATTACCTCGACAACCA